ATCCTGAACTTTGACATTCCATATGAAGTGGCTGTAAAAGAACTTCAATCATACAAAAGAACGCGAAGCTACCGCAAGCGGACAACGCATCATTGTGGTACCCAGATGGTTCGAAGCTGAGAAGGAGTCGGTTTAGGAATAACGACCAAACTTCAAACTCTCCTTAGCAATGGGTAAAACGCCCACAATGTTTCAAGCTGAGGTACTGGCCATAAACATCTGTGCCCAAGAGTGTCTTATAAAAGATGCCTTTCAAGAGAGCACATTTACATACTGCTCGATAGTATAGCGACAATAAAGGCTTTAGGAGCCATCAAGTGTAATTCGCAGCTAGTTTGAGAGGGTGAAAATATCTTTGAGCAACTGGCTGGGAGGATAGGAGGCCAAGACAAAGAGGGCAACGACAAGGCATATACCAACTCACAAAGCAAGCCGTTTTAACGCCTTGTCAAGGCCCAGAGCCTTTTAATGGATTAATGAAAAAACTACGTTTCCGAAGAAATAAAAAGGGAAAAGAACCGAATGCTAGCTCATTGGAGATCCATTCCGGGTCTGAGACAGGCAAAAGGGTTCATATCCATCTCAGCAAAGAGATCTGAAAAACTTCTTGACATGAACAGAAATATCACTGAAAAATGATAGGCAAATCATAAAACGACCACTGCAGATCTTGCGAACAAGCAACATAAACTACAGGGGTAGAGGTGGGCACTCTTCCACCCAAGAAGCTAGCCTCCTTTGGAAGAAGCCTATAAGTCCTGGACACCAACTAAAACTAGTCACGAATAAAAAATCTAGAAAGGTAGCAGCGCTTGAGCGGCTGGAACAAACTGTTACGGATCCAAATGCAATCTACTATCTTATATGTGTCTAAGTTCATCACAAACCGCGTTGTTTAAGGTGTTGAGGACAAACGAAAAATAATGAAGGTAATAATTTCTGATCCAGTAATGTATTCATTCAAATACATACCTATGATACATGATTCAAAAATACCTATGTGTATGATACATCCGACGAAGAAAATGCAAAGTTTCAGGAAAAATGCGATACGGATGAACAAACCAGCGAAATATTTGTAGGAAAATTATCTCCTGAAAGAAATATAAATTATTTTTGTGCAGCTGCTGCACAGAGGGCGTTTCAAAGTTTTCTGAAATACATAATATCTTCAATTTTTCTTTCTGTAAATCTACCGGCTTCGATGAAGAAACAAACGAGCTACAAATTAAACAAAATAAAAAACAAATTGATCCATTTGTCCGAAAGGACAAAATTTTGATGTTCCAGCCAAAAATAAGTGCGTCGCTCCCTAATGGAACTTTGTGTATTTGGTCGTCATACTAGTTTTCATAAATATATATTTATTATTTTCAAAAGATTGAAGAGGCCAGTTCAAAAATTTCCATATTGACATACCAATCTAATATTGTTTGAAATTCGGTCAAATTTTCTTCTATATTGTCACTAATAAATGTATTATTAATTTCATTGTTTTTTTGTCAGTTTCATTGGAAAACTCTCGAAACTCCACAAATTATCATTGTAAATTGCCTCAACTAACTTATAGCTCGCGAGCCAACGACACACAAGTGACTTATGTGACTTATTGCGGCTTACAGCTATCGTTAGTAGTTTAATAATTTATATTTGATGGTCAAAAAAAAGTACTGAAGTATTGATATTGTTCTATGAAATAATGCTGTAAATTTGCTGTTTTGAGGCGTTCTCGTTTGTATCTCATTTGCAGTTGGCTAAGATTTTGTCTATTGACCATTTTTTCCAGAAACCCCGTTTAATTTTTTGAAGCAAATCCCATCTGTGAATGTGGCTTGTGTTGACTTTGAATGATGTCCTCTTTAGATACCCAAAAAATTCCCTACGACTTTTTTATTTATTCCTCGCCTAATTTCGAAAGTAGCTTAGAGCGTCTGGAATGTTTCGAAGGAGACGCTCACCCATTTTCTCAGCGTAAATCCTCCTGATTCCAGGTTCCTTAGGTCTCTCTGTATTTTTGGAGCGTTTCCTATGATATTCGCTCCAAACAGTACACTCGACCAAGCATAAAACGACCTTATTTATCACTTAAAAAATAACAAAAAGAGAGTCAAGTCAGTGTCATTTTTAAATCTAAACATGTTCATGTACACAATTCGGATTTATGTACTTAATCCCCTTTTTGGTAGCTACAGCCAGCATCTGTGGTTTTAAAGTATTAGAAATAGATTATGTTGTTACGTATATCAAGTGTCTGTCTGTGGGTTGACATCTAGAAAACGTGACGTATATTGTATGAATTTTGTAAACAAGTACAGTGCCGAAGGAGGCTTGTAAAAAAGGGGTCAAATTTCCGTTTTCAGTATTAAGCTTGGTGTTATTTGACGGGAAAATTGTTTTATTTATTCAAAAAAAGCTCACAAAACATTTTGCGTTTACTTTTGTTCAGCTTTGACATTGACAAAAACTGTCTAAGCTTTTTCAGAAGAGACATTTTGTTGTTAAGCCAGAGCCAGACTCACATTAGGCAAATTTAAAAATGAAAATGAAGGATATTTCAAAATTTAGAACAGTTGTTCGAAAGATAAACACTGCGCAGGCGTTAGGCTGTTCCGTTGCACAACTGTTCGTAGAATATTGCCCCAAATTTTCACACAAGTTTAGTTTAGCCAATCAAGCCGTACGATTGTTTATCCATTTATTTTCGAGATCAGTGGGCAAAGTAGAGTGCTTTTCTTCCTCCTGGCTTTGTGGGGCACAGTGGATTGGTTTTCTTCTTCACTACTCGACTTGTAGGGCTAGTAGAGCGCTTTTCTTCGTCCTGGTTTTGTGGGGATTGGTTATCCTGGATCTTCTTGTGGCTTTTGTGACAATGGATTTCTTCTTCCTAGCTTTTAATCCTGTTCTCTGCTTGGCTAGTTGGGCGCTTACTAAGATGTTCGTCCTGTTGTGTTTATCTGGCTCGAAGGAACAATTGATTTAACTTCTTAATACACTTGTGATGTATTAACTCAAATTATCACAGTTTTATACTAATCTGAGTCGAAACAATTTAACCCTTTAACGTTCTCTGGTGTAAACCTAGTACCACCTTGTTTATTCCTTATTATAACCTGAAAATCTGGTTTTAATGCACCCTAAAAACATCGTCATTCAATATACGTTAGTCTCCGACGTCAGTTTATTACAAGATTTTTCTGGATGCGGTCGCATTTTTCAAAATGGTACACCATATATACCAGTGGGACTCGAGAAGCATCAATTATGTTGTTTTATGTACTTCAATTCGTATTTTTATCAATATTTATAATCCGGAAAGGATCTTGACGAATCAAATAGGTAATTATCATCTATATATGTATACTGAATAGATATAAATTCAAAATTCTAATGCTGTACTCAGTTATTTAGTAAAAAACTATTCATATTCTCAACCTGGAACTTATTTTGTGAATTTTGTGTACATTTTGAATTATTTTTTCTATAAGTTCTACTCCTAGTTCAAGATTCATATTTTGATACATGCTTCATATACATGTCTCCATGAAATATCAATCAACTTTTCATTCTGTTCTTTTTGCGCTAGGAAAATTTTTACAAATTTTCTTTCGAATGTATACAATTTCAACATTATTTTCATGTTTTGTGGTATAAAAACGATAATGAACAATTTTAAATCGCACTAATTGTTATTATAATATTTTTCTGATTTGTTTTTGATTTTGTCAATCCAGTTTTCACAATATCTGATGATTAGGAAAATTTTAGGACCTTATTTAGGATCATATGGAAGTAAGATAGGTAATGTTCATTTGTTATGTTATAGAGTTTGATGTGATTTTTCTTTAGTTATTGTATATTTCGTTTTTGTTATAACTCTGTTTGAAAGCTATTGTGTTTTTTATTCTGATCCCGCAGAAATTCATTTTATTATTCCATTATTTATGAAGGTGTGGTATAGGGTTTGTACCAGAGAACACTACCTACATATTTAGTCCTAAATGGTCTCTGGTAAAATGGGTTACCGCCTAATATAGGAACGAAAAAAATAGAAAACTCGATTTCTAGTGACAAATTATCTTTTATTGTTTCCAAAAGACTACATAACTAGCATTTTCTGAATAAAATAGTCTCAGGAAAATTTTGCCCGTTAAAGGGTTAAATGATAATTTACCTAATTCCAAATATTTAACAATAGGTATTAATGCACTACTAATTACACCACTGACCCCGTCATGACATGCTCCTCATGTTCCGTAATATTTGCGAGGGGCACTTTTTTTACCCTTACCACGTGTTAACCGCATGAAAAATTTTTTGTTAATATTTTTTTATTAAACAATTATGTAAATATGGCCAAAATTTAGAGTCGATTTAAGGAAATGTTGACCAAACCACCGTAACTAAAGTTTAATTTATTATATCAATTAGGCACTAGCTGACGTCACACACATAACCTCACTTTCGATGGACGGGCAAAAAACGTCAATGCGCCCAACTTGTCTGAACAGGTAACAGGTTCATTTGAGAAATATCGTTTGTTTGTCCCATTGAGGTATATGCTTGTCTCAATGAGATGTTTGTCATCCTATCGAAAGTGACGTTATGTGTTTTTTGACATAATAGCTAATGCCTGTGTGTATAAATAGTCTTTCAAACGCTTTGTTTGTCCCACACATCGAAAGTGAGGTTATGTGTGTGACGTCACATAGTCCCTAATTGATTGCAATAAGACTTGCTGAGACGAATAGAGCGGAGAAGGGGTACCTATATCATATAAAATGTTTTCCTCTTGCTCAATAAACCAAGAGAAATTCTCTGAGGCTATTTAATTTCCGATTATATATTTTTTTCTCAACTTAATGAAGTGAAGGGCACTAGTTATAATTGTAATATATTAATTTCAATGATATATACCCACAAATCCCTGACATATATTTTACTACTAGGCATTAAAAAGTTCCATAATCAGCCAATCGTAAAAATGTAGGTACCTAAATCGCGACAAATAACCGAACATTTAAAGTCCCAACTGACAACACATAACCAGAGCATTGTAGCAAATAACACCTTCCAACTTAACTTTGAAGTAGCAACATTTCTTTAATAAAGCGCTTGTATATACAAAATAATAGATGCCATAGATATCATTTTATAGAGAGAACATTGTAATTTGTAACTGGCTATGCCACCATGCGCACACTAACCTTATTAACGATAAAAATTCTGTGTTGAGGAGGGCGGGGTCCCATGTTATAAATGGCAGCCGTTTCTGATTGGTCCTGGGGTCACGCCCATCTTAGCACACAGAAGGGGAACAGTTTGATTTTCAACTGTTTCCCTTCCGAGAAATATAGTGAGCTATGTGATGTCGACAATAGAAGTACTCATCATCACAGTGTGTCGTATATAGTGATTTTGATTGTCTTTTTTCTTCGATAACAATCGCGATTGTGTTGCGGATATTGTATGGAACTAAACTGTGAATAGACAACTGAATAGTGACAATATGTTGACTGATGTCACGCCAGCAACTGCTGGGCATTACTTCGGAGCTCAAATACCGACGATGACAATGAATGTCAAAACTGCTGTGAGTAATATACCTATATAATGCAAAACTTATACCACATCTTTTAAAATACATGTTTTAAAAATAAACATCAAAGTACTTATACCTACTTACATAGGTACCTAAAAGTGGTGTTTAATGTCACATTAAATAATGAATTATTCGATTGAAGTATTTTTTTTCTAAATTCTTTGGTATCAAATTGAATGAAACAAGAGGACATTTTATTGCGTATTGTCCGTCGCTCCAACCTTATACTATTATACATAGTGATCCAGGCTCAGAGTTTCAAAAATTTCAACAACGGTTTTCAAATTTCACTTTTTTCAAGATGTGAGCATACCTCATTTAAATAATATTTAATTAAATCTAAACTAATAGCTATAAATTTTGGTTGTGTGATGACTTTTCTAGAAACAAATTATTGTAAACTCAGGCTCCTCGTCAAAATTCCGGATTTTGAGACAGTGATTTTCATCTTATTTTGATAAAATTTAAAAAGAAGTTTTGTTTCGAATTTGCTTTATAGGAGGTATACACACAATACCCACTATGAATGCTTTTGATGATAATGAGTACTCTATTTCCAGTAGTACAGGCATAGACTAAAGTAGTGAAATAGAGCTGCCAATAAGTTAGGACTCGACTACATGAAGGTACATGAAATTTTTGTGAATTTATTGGTCATGTATCTGAATTTTGGTTTTGATGAGAAAATATCAATGATGTTTTCTATAAATAGCTCATTCTTTTTGAATGTTTATCAAAATTTGATGGATTTCATGTTTTTTTCTTAATGACACAAAGTCTTACCTATTTATTGATATTAAATAATAGTATCTTGTATTCACAAAAAGGAAAAATATAATACCAACGATATTAAGATATTTATTAAACATGATGTCAGAATTCTTCAGACGATTTGTTGCCTTCATTTAAATCGTTCCGAATGTCTTATAATTACAAGTAAATTATTTATGAAGACGTTGTCTTTGAAAATTTAATTATGTAATTTTCATATCAAGAAAATTGGCCTTATAAATACCTACTTTTAAGGAAAAGTTTCCGTTATAGGGAATTTTATCGTGGGAATTAAGACTTTTATTGTTAATGTAAATTAAACACACAATAACTGGGTTTTTGCAAGCAAACTAAAGAAACATACCTCGATAATCAACTAAAAAATCCAATGAAAATATCAATTTCTCTTTTCTATATCAACAAATCACAAATCATAATATAGCATGGCATGCTCGACCGATTCCTCCTGACAAAAGCTATTTAAGGTGATTTTCTATCAATGGGGCGGTATTTGTTTGGGTTGGTACCATGCTGTGAGAATCCATCAAGAGTGTAAAGAACGCTGCTTGACGTACAAAGGATACACGCTAAACGTGTACGATGCGCTTTTCGGTTTTTAGGGTTCGAAGAGTGTCCGTCGGCAAATCGCTTACGTAGCGGCAGAGCTCTATGAAAATAACATTATTGAGGTGAAGCTGAATAAGTAACGTGTAATTAGGTACCTATTTATTTATTGGCCATAAAACCGAACGTACCTACCTAGTATATATGCATACGTTTTTCAACGTCTTTTTAAACGTTAGTAACTCTATCTTCAAAGGAAAAGCAACTTCAATGGATGCTTGGATAAGTTTTGTACGTGCCTGACATGAAACGACTACGAAAAAAATATTTATTATCCTATATTGGTGAAATATTCCTAAACACATGAACGTTAAAATCCTTCAAAAAAAACCCACATGTTTTTCAAGAACTTCTAGAAAAACTTTGCGTAATACCTACGTCTTTCGTTCGTATTCTAGTTTCAACCAAAGAACAATTATTATTCTTACAAGTTCGAAGCTTAAATTACAACATTTTTGTTCCGTAAAACCATTGACTGTTTATTTTCAATATTTTTGTTGTTCTGAATCTAAAATCTGGGTTGACAACTCTTCCTCAATTTTTCTCGTGCCTTTCTATTGGTGGGATGTGAGTTAAAGTTTGAAGTGGAAGTTTTCTCTGTCATTGTATAGATATTAATTTTTAGAGAAATATAAAGTTCCGATACCCTTTAATATTGTTGGTCATATTCCTATGTTACACCTATTAGTTATTTAGAACTTTAATAAACCCTTTGGAAAGTTCAAAACACTTAAAATTCAATTCAGAATTTCCTAAAGCATTCTGTAGCGCTTCAGAACAATGTGGAAACTTCAGAATCATTTAAGAATGCTCCAAAACATTCAAAAACGGATTAACAATTTCCAAAAGCATTTTAGAACAATTCAGAAGTTTGAAACCCATTTTTGGACGTTCTAAAAACAATCTAGAATCTCCAGAAACATTTTGACAAGTGCCAAGATCTAAGTTCAACCTAAAAGTTACAAAACGCCTTTTAAAAGTGAATTTAAATTGCTGTAAAACTTTAAACCGTTAATAAGCGTCCAAATCCGAATTTTCAGGAGCATTTTGGAACAATTTCGAAGTTTCACAGTTGTTTTAGAACAATTAGGATTCAATTTAGAACTGGAAACCTTTCAGAACTCTTTTGAACCAATTCAGAACACTTTGGAGCTACAATAGGGCTCTAAAATACATACTTAAAAATCTGTCAATTTAGAAATTACTGAAAAACTTCTAGAATGCTCCAGAACTTTTCAAGCAGTATTTTGAAAGGCTTCAGAACAATTTAAAAACCTAGGATTATTCGAGAGAGCCAAAAATTGACAGTTACAAAATGAGTAGATAATCAACAGTAATAATAAGGAAATATTAGCTAGAAAATTTCTTGAATTTTTATAATTTTTCCTATTCCAGGCTCTTGATTTTTCCTTATTTCTCAATTCTATATTCTAAACTTTTTTTGGGCTCTTGAATTTTTTCATTCCAAGTTGTTGAATTCTCATTATTCCCGGTATTTTGGAATTTCAGGCTCTTGATTTGTTTTTCCATTTTCACTCCTGGCTTTTCCAATGTTCTTCTTCCAAAATGAATTTTGTGAATGTTTTCGTTTTCAAAAAATCAAAAATTTAAGAGTCTAGCGTTCGGAATAAACAAAAATTGAAAGTTATAAATGAGTAATAATAACGAAATATTAGTCCTGAAGACGTATTTAGGCAGACGTCTGAAAGACGTTGGGTTTTGTAACATACGACGTCTTCAAGATGTCTTTAAGACGCCTTGAAGACGTAAGTAGACGTCTTGAATGTCGTTTGTGGACATCTTAGGGACGTCTCCAAGATGTCTCTGTGCTGTCTGGAAACGGAAGGAGTCGGTCTGGAAATAACTGGACCAAACTTTAAACTCTCCTCAGCAGTGGGTGAAACGCCCACAATAACTCAAGCTGAGGTACTGTCCATAAACATTTGTGAAAGGGTAAAAATATCCTTGAACAACTGGCTAGGAGGAACAAAGTAACTCTGATGTGGGTGCCAGGACATCAGGGCATAGAAGGCAACCAGGAGGCAGACCGTCTCGCAAAGCAAGGCGCTTTAACACCTTTTCAAAGCCCAAAGCCTTTTTGTGGACTAATGAAGCCATGTCTCTGAAGAAATGAACACATGAAAGAGTGAATGCCCTGCTCACTTCTGCAAAAGGCTGAAATACCTTGAACAACACCTCAAGAGGTAGACACTTCACCACCCTGGAAGCTGGCCTCCTTCAGGAGAAGTCTTCAAATCTTGGACACCAACTAGAGGCAGAGTCACGCACAAAATATCTAGAAATGTAGCAGTGATTGAACGGCTGGAACAAGCTGTAACGACTCTAAATGCAATCTACAATCTACAAGAAGAAGAAAAGCCCTATAAAGTCCTGAGGACGATGCGGATGGTAACAGAACGTCCAAAAAAGCTGTGTGTTAAATAAACGTTTGGCCCTAGTTTATATGCAGTCTTTCCAGCACAGCCCATCTTCCAATGATAGATACTACCCCAAATCAATTCATCTCATTGAGAATTTCTAATTCATAATAAAAAATGTGTACCATATCCTGAAAGATTCCACCTACTATAGACAGAGAGATTTGCTGTGGAACTTGTTTGACTCTAAAATGAAAAAAATGTCTTTTCCGAGCACACTTACCTATAAAGATTATTATTCCTGTTTACGTTCTTCTTCATCAACTACCTATAGTAGGTAATTAAATTGGGACATAATCTGGTGAACAATATCTCTCCGTTTTTCCACTTTAGAGCCAAAAAATATTAATTGTTCGTTCCTCTTGCAGCTTAATGTTCAATACCAAAATCAAATTTTCGATATTTTTGGTTTTCTATAGGACATTTATCAAATTTCTTCGGTAGCTACCACATTCCACGTTGAAAGGATGCTGAAATATAAAGCAGAGAATTAAAGATCAATGACTAACTGGTACGATGTACTAAAATCAAAACTGTAAAATTTACTAACGCACTCATCACGATCACGAAAAATACTCGGCTGTTGGGCAAACAAACTTTACAAATCCTCTACGAAAAAAAAAAACTACAAAAGTACCTCTCATCCTTAAATCTCAGAAAGAGCAAGTTAATTCCTAAATAGACCCGGCCTAAAGGACAAAATCCCCTTAGAGGCTTTTCATGTCCGAGTCTATTGTGCTATATGTTTCCTTAAAATAACTTCGTCTAAGCTACTTATGGTCCCCAAATACCACAAATAATGGTACTTCCAGCATAATGGAAAAAGTGGATTTTACATGTTAGGGTTGTTATTTTAGGCCACTAGCTTTTTTTTCTAGTTTCATTCGTTGTCCTTAGATGTTTTCTCTGTGTAGGCATGGTTGAAACAATGTATAATATCTACAGGTAGTAATTTTCAATAGTGAACATATGTTGCAATTATGACTACAATATGCATTTGATAAGTGTTTCGAAACTTTAAACATATTACAAACTGTTAATATCGTAGTAATAAAAATGCCTCTAAAAGTCGTTTATATAGCAAAAGGTCGAGGTTATGGCTATTGTTATTTTACCACGTGCCCACATAACTACATATACCTAATAATTAATGTTTGG